ACAGTGTCCCACAAGGCTTGGTTGACACTGCCAGATGGCGATGCAGTTTGCTGGTGTCCTCCATAGCACGGCCGTCGCCATATACGACGGGTGACATTAGACGCTCTCCCTGCCTCGCAGGCGCAGGGGAACCAGGCATTCTAGCTCCGAGCTCTCTAGAATGACACGAGAACCGTTAACCATCAGTCTAGGGGGGCAGGACAGAGGTGCACAGGGAGGACCATCTCCGCCGAACTTGACGACCCTTGGTCGCCACAACCGTCCGACTTCGAAGGCGAGGACCTCTAGCCGCCTTGGGGCTTCGATGACATGATGACGGAGCAAACGACCTCTCCTCAGAGTCACTTCCAAGGCGAAGACAGCGCAGTCGAAGATCAACGCGACGAGCGCAGCCTCCTCCTCCTCCTCCTCCTCCTCCTCCTCCTCCTCCTCCTCCTCCTCCTTCCTTTCCTTCCTCTTCTTCTCTCCTCCCTCGTGTCTCCTCCGTCCCTCTTCCGTCCTTCCTTACTTTCTTTGTCCTTCTTCCTCCCTCCCTCCCTCCTCCCATGTCTGCGGCTTGGCATCCCAAGGTACTTGAACAAGCACACGATCCACCGCGAGCTCAAGTGAGGGGCTGGTCACGGCGCGCTGCTCGGTGTGGGGCGCGCCTTCGGTTCCCCGCGGTCGGCGCCGAACGCCGCAGCCCCTCTCTCTACAGTGCGTTCGCGTCGCCAGGCCACTTCCGCGTCGCTTCCGTGCCCCCGCGGCCATTGTGTTCTGATGGCGCTAGGCCCATGGATGACGTTGAGAGCGTATTCGAACGGAGGCGGAACGGAAGTGGTACGAAAGTGTAACGGAAGTGGAACGAACGCCAATTATTACGGTACGTTCGCGTCGTGTCGACCAGAGGCGACCCCGCCACCAGCGTTCAACGTTGAATGCTGCCGGCGACCCAGAATCGGTCGATGTTGGACGGCTTGACAACCAACCAGAACATCCATGCTTGCGCGTCGAAGCTCCATAGCTTGCGAAGTGTCGAGACCACCACCTATCGCGTCGGAGTGCTGGGCGACACAACGTAACACAGGCCAGCTGACACACATCAGTCCCCTAAAGGCCGTCTTTCGTTGATGCAAATTCAAGGCTCTGTCCGTGTTATGTTCAGGCAAAATGAAGACTCTGTTCGGGGTCCCTGCGAGGGCCTCGCAGCTCAAAATTCATCTCCACAGGGGTCCGTGCGAGGGTCTGTGCGGGGTCTTGGAGCCGCAGTCCCCAGACTTCACCGCGCTGTGACACAAAAACACGTCGGAGGGTGTTTTGTTTTGCAGCGTTGGGTTGCCCGGGAGTCATACGGGGCCCTGGAGCCGTCAAACACGGCTCGGGCTGAGAAGCCGGTCCTGGGAAAGACCTCCGGTGCGGGGGTCCACGGCGTAACAAATCACCGCGCCGGGGGTCTCGGATCTGTCCCCTATCTTTGGCCTTTCCGCCTCGTGGTGAGGGGCCGTTGCGGCACGCTGCTCGAATGGGCTGGACGTATGCACCACGTCGTGTGGTCGGCCGAAGAGCCAATGGTTTCGGCGCAGGTGTTTGGGTGTATAGGCGGTCCAGTGCCCCACAGGTTGGGCAGCTGGGGCGTCGATACATCGGGGGCGGAAAAGAGGGGGGTGATGACTAGGGGGGGGTGGATATCATGGCGCGGGCCATGATATCTCCCCAGATCTCGTGGCGCCTCTTCTTGTTTCATTACGTCCCTGGTCCCCCCGCTGGGCCGCGCACATGCCGCCGGTCATGATTTGCGCCCCCCCTTCTTGGACACCCCCCTCTTTTCCGCTCCCGAATACACGGAGCTCTTGGGCCGACCGAGCGACGTGGTGTGTAGTAGGCGCTCTTTTTTTCTTGGTGTCAGCCCTTGGCCGAAAGGGCGGAGGAGGGGGAGGTCCGGGTCTGGGCCAGTGCTGCGTCGATCTGTTTGTACCAGTTGCGCAAGTAGACCAGTCGCCAACAGCAACAACCAAAAGCAGCCAAGATCCAGTCTATGGGGGGGAGGGGGGGGCGGCTGGGGGCCCGCCCCGATGGCGAAGCAGTACGCAACAAAAAAAGGAGCTGCATGCGTCGAGCCCCTCCCAGCTGTTCGGTAGGGCGTGTTGTAAGATGCCTGCTGAGTTCCTCCCCCCACGCCACCTCGCCAGGCGGCCAGTTCAGCGACCGCGCTCGCACAGACGTCTCCCGAGTCCCGATCCAGACCCCCGCGCCCCGCGGGGGACAGCACAGCCGGTTTCCGCGCTCCAGGAGGCCGCCCAAGTGGGGTCGAAGAGGAGGAGGAGGAGGAGGAGGAGGAGGAGGAGGAGGATGAAGAGGAGGAGGAGGATGAGGAGGAGGAGGAGGAGGAGGAGAGGGAGAAGGAGGAGGAAGAGGGTCGAAGAGGAGTCCTCCCAGTTGCTTCACGTGGGCAGGTGGCCTTGATGGGCTGGCAGTTTGGGTGGGTCTGGATGTTTTTTTACCCCCCCCACGCGGCCCGCTTTTTCGTTTGTCCTTGTCGACCGGCACCACCCAAGCATGCTCACACGATGTGCGCGTCGGCCTCGCCATTTCCTCGTTCTGCACCTCGTGCAGCCGTTCAGGCAAGCGCCTCAGATGTCAAGGGAGCGACCTCCAGATTCGACGGCGGGAGGGGGAGGAGGAGAAGGAGGAGGGCAGGAGGGAGAAGGAGGAGGAGGAGGAGGAGGAGGAGGAGGAGGAGGAGGAGGGAGGAGGAGGAGGAGGAGGAGGAGGAGGAGGAGGAGGAGGAGAGGAGGGGGAGGAGGAGGAGGTGAGCAGGGAAAAAAGGGATGATGCTGATGATGATGATGCTGATGCTGATGATGTTGATGATGATGCTGATGATGATGCTGATGATGCTGATGTTGATGCTGATGCTGATGCTGATGATGATGATGCTGATGATGATGCTGATGATGATGATGCTGATGATGATGCTGATCATGATGCTGCTGATGATGCTGCTGCTGCTGTTGCTGCTGCTGCTGATGATGATGATGATGATGATGATGATGATGATGATGATGATGATGCTGATCATGATGCTGCTGATGATGATGATGCTGACGATGATGATACTGATGATGATGCTGATGATGAGGAGGAGGAGGAGGACGAGGAGGAGGAGGATGAGGAGGAGGAGGAGGAGGAAGATGAGAAGGAGGTGAGGAGGGAAGAGGAGGAGGAGGAGGAGGAGGAGGAGGAGGACGAGGAGGAGGAGGAAGGGGAGGAAGAGGAGGAGGGGGAGGAGGAGCAGGAGGCTCGGGAAGGAAGAGCGGGAGGAGGAGCATGAGGAGGAGGAGGAGGATGAGGAGGATCTGGCCCGCTGGGTCTCAGACGTAGGAGGGTCTACGCCACGGGGAGCGCGCAGGCAGCCTCTGGCTCCGTGAGCCAGTGTACTCGCAGGTTGCGCGTGGCAGTGCGTGCTACTGGAAGGGGGTGGGTGATGAGAAACCCGCATGCGGACACACACACAAACACACACACACACACACGAACACACACACACACACGCACACGCACGCACACACACACACACATTCACACACACACACACACCACGCACGCACGCACGCACGCACGCACGCACGCACGCACGCACGCACGCACGCACGCACGCACGCACGCACGCACGCACGACACTCACACTCACACTCACACTCACACTCACACTCACACTCACACTCACACTCACTCACACTCACACACTCACACTCACACTCACACTCACACTCACACTCACACTCACACTCACACTCACTCACACTCGCACTCACACTCACACTCACACTCACTCACACTCACACTCACACTCACACTGACACACACACACACACTCGCACTCACACTCACACACACACTCACACACACACACACTCACACACACACTCACACACACACTCACACACACACACTCACACAAACACACACTCACACACACACACACTCACACAAACACTCACACAAACACTCACACAAACACACACACGCACACACACACACACACGCACACACATTAACACACACTCACACATTCACGCATTCACGCATTCACTCATTCACGCATTCAACGCATTCACACAGTCACACATTCCGATGGAAACCACGGAGAAACATCCCAGCTCATGAACTCCTGTGTGTTAAGCCGTGCGCGGGCGGGGGCAGGACACTCCCCGACCATCTTCGGGGGAGAGGAGAGTCCTATTCGTTTTGAGTTATAGTGTGCAGCTCTGCACACTTCCAGCGCTTGCGCGCTCGGCCCACGGCGACTGTAGGCCTCGCCGGATGTGGTCAGACCAGACAGGGTCGGAGAATCGACGCATCGGCGATGTGGATTTTCGCAAGGCCGACGTCGTCGATGCATCTTCGATGCATCGGCGATTCCAGCACCATCTACTCCAATCCTATGTGGGAGGCCTCGAGATCTTTCTCCTTATCCTCTTTGGCCTCCTCCTCCTCCTCCTCTTCCTCCTCTGCAGCCAAGAGCCAGATCAGAGAGGTAGAGCGAACCTCCAGTCTTCATGGCTCCCAATGGTGTTGTCTTGTCTTGTCTTCCACCTCCTCTTCCTCCTCCTCCTTTCCTCCCTTTCCTCCCCCTCCTCTTGTTCCTTTTTTTTGCACTGAGGGACTCCTGTGCATGGTTTCCGTGGCACGCAGGTCGATGTTGGGAAAGCGAATGAACGTTCAGGCGATCTCGTATCGGGGAACATATTGGGAGGCCTCCATCCCCTCTTTCTTCCTCTCCCCCCAACCCTCGCCCCCGCCCTCGCCCCCGCCCCCGCCCCCGCCCCCGCCCCCGCCCCCGTCGTCGTCGTCGTCGTCGTCGCCGTCGTCGTCGTCGTCGTCGTCCGTCGTCGTCGTCGTCGTCGTCGTCGTCGTCGTCGTCGTCGTCGTCGTCGTCGTCGTCGTCGTCGTCGTCGTCGTCGTCGTCGTCGTCGTCGTCTCCGTAGCTGCCGTCGTCGTCGTCGTCGTCGTCGTCGTCGCGTCGTCGTCGTCGTCGTCGTCGTCGTCGTCTTCTCCTCCTCGTCCCTGCAGTCGCCTCCGCCCCGCGTGTGGAGGGCGCGGAGGAAGAGCGCGCCGCCCGCGGCCCGCGGCCCGGGCGATGCCGCGCGGGGAGTCGCGCATCTGGACGCGGAGCGTGGAGCTTGACGCGGAGCGCGGGCTGAGCGTGTCGCTGGCGGAGCGGGCCTCGTCCAATCGAGGTCTTCGGACATTTTGCCGTCGGTTCTCGGCGGTCCTCCGGCCTCGCGATGCCTTCGGCGGCCGCGCCTCGCCGCCGAGGAGACGTGCCCTGTGGGATCTCGGGGGGTGGTGGACATCATGGACAGTCGACCGCCCGCGTGGGCGGGCGGCTGCCCACGGCCACCCCTCCCCGAGCCCACGGGGCACGGCCCCGCGGCAGTGGCCGTGGGCATAGTGCTGGCGGCGCAGGGTGCTCAGGGGCAACGTTCGGGGGCATCAGCGCAGGGGGGGGATGCAGCGATCCCCAAGTCGCCCACTCATCGCGGACAGGGGCCCGAGAGCCCTTTCCCGCCCAGGAGCGTGCGGTTTCGTTGCCTGGGGCCGATCGCCGATCTATCGGCGATGTATCGACGATTCCAGGGCGATGTTCCCCCCCCCCCCCCCCCCTCAGCCAGTTTCCCCCCTTACGTTTCCCCCCTTACGCTGCCGCTCGTCCAGGGAGGGGGATGAGGAGCTGCAGAGAGCCTTGCTCCGTCTGGAGCTCGGCGCGGTCTGGCGCCCCTCCTCCTCCCTGTCCTCCTCCTCCTCCTCCGCCTCCTCCGCCTCCCCCCTTCTCCTCCTCCTCCTCCGCCTCCTCCTTTCCTCCTCCTCATCCTCCTCCCTATCCTCTGCCTCCTCCTCCTCCTTTGTTCCTGATGGCTGTGAAGGGATCGTCGATCGCAGCCCTCCTCCGTCCTGCTCCAGCTCCCTCCTGCTCCGCCTCCTCCTCCTCCTTCTCCTCCTCCTCCTCCTCCTTCTCCTCCTCCTCCTCCTCCTCCTCCTCCTCCTCCTCCTCCTCCTCCCCGTCCTCCTCCTCCTCCTCCTCCTTCCCCAGGTCCTCCCCCTCCTCCACCTTCTCCTCCCAGTCGTTGTCCCCCAGGTGGAGGACCCCACGCTGGACCTGGACGGCGAGGCGTGGTGCTCCTGGTGCCTCTGGCCCGCGGCCAGGGCTCTGGTGGGGTACCTCGCCACGCTCGCCGACGCCGAGCTCGCGGGGCTCAGCGTGCTGGAGCTCGGCTCCGGCTGCGGGGCGGTCGCCGAGGAAGAACACATTACCTGGCGAAGAGGCCAACCCTCACCACCCACCAAACCACCCCAACCCAACCCGAAGGCCCAAATTTATCCTCGGTTTCCAGTGGGGGGGGGGTCGGGGAACACTGACAAAAACACATGGAACCCGTACCCCCCCCAACCCGAATTTCGATTCAAATTCGGGTCTTCGGGTTGGGTTGGGGTGGTTTGGTAGGTAGTCAAACCCTTTCCAAGCACGTGGGAGGCTTCAGCTATGATCATGACGGTGTTGCTGACGGTGGTGGTGAATGTGATGATAATGCTGATGCTGATGCTGACGTTGATGCTGCTGACGCTTGGTGATGCAGAAGCTGATGCTGATGCTACTACTTTTGATTATGATGATACTGATGGCGGCAGTGGTAGTGGTAATGATGATGATGGTGCTGATGCTGCTGATGCTGATGATGGTGGTCATGCTGCTGATGATGCTGAGGCTGATGCTGCTGCTGATGATGCTGCTGCTGCTGATGATGATGCCGGCGATGATGGTGATGCTGATGCTGATGCCGATGATGATGACTATGGTGATGGTGATGATGCTGATGCTGATGATGGTGGTGGTGATGGTGATGATGACGATGATGTTGGTGGTGATGCTGCTGATATTGATGATGTTAACGCTGATGCTTATGCTGCTGATGATGCTGATGATGCTGATGATGATGATGCTGCTGGTGATGATGGTGATGATGATGAGGAGGAGGAGGAGGAGGGTGATTGTTGTGATGGTGGTGATGATGATGAAGAGAAGGAGGAAGAGGAGGAGGAGGAGGAGGAGGAGGAGGAGGAGGAGGAGGAGGAGGAGGAGGAGGAGGAGGAGGAGGATGAGGAGGAGGAGGAGGAGGGGGAGCACGAAGATGCTGATGACGATGACGACAGTTTCGGGGGCTGTGCAGTTGCGCGTGTCTCGGCGCAGCCCAACCTTCGGGGAACGAAGAGTGGCATACAAAAACATACGCTTTCGAAGCGCCAGAGTGTTGCACCACCCACGCGCAGCATTTTTTTTCGTCCGCTCCTGCCGCGCTATGGGTCACGCTGCTCGATACCCTTTTTCCCTTAGCGGGTTCGAGCCTCACGCCGACGGATGACCCTTTCCAAACTTGATGCGCAAAGGCGTCATAAACATAATTTGTCGGAGGTTCGCGCAGATTTCTCGGATCGGCGTTGGATCCCTTGGCGACGCCTCCGGCGCAGCCCCTGGCGCGCTGCGCGCGCCAGGTAGGGGGGTCCAGCGTCGATCTACGGAAACAGCGCGGATATTTGAATGTTTCTGTTCATGATGTTCGTGTTCTCGAGGAGAGCCCAACTTTTCCTAAACGCGTGGGAACTATCAACGGGATCGTTGAGGGGGGGGTCGCAGTACCCCTGAAGGCTTCGCCAGAGGACGTCGGACCACGCTCGGCACACACATTCCAGTGACTAGATCATTGGAGCCTTCGGTGGAGCTCCGTATGGGGCCACGCAACGTTGTGAGGGATGTGCCGAAATAGACCCCAGGCGCCATACGAACCCTGCCACTGAGGCCTTGGGTGGAGCCCCCCATCGGGCCACAAAACGTGTGAGGTGTTTGCACGCATGCATCCGAGGCACCAGGCGGACCCTGTCACTGGGACCTTCGGTGGATCTTTCCAATCATGAGGCCGCAAGACGTGTATGGCGTGCGCCGACATGGTGCAGGTAACCATACGGATCCTGCCGCTGATGCCTGCTTGAGGCCACGAAGCGTTTGAGGAGTGTTCCCAAAAGGGCCGGGTAGCCATGCGGACCCTGCCACTGGGGCTTTCGGCGGAGCTCCCCGTGAGGCCACGAAGCGTGTGAGGGCTGCGCCTGGATTGGGTGGGTAACCATGCGGACAATGCCACTGGGCCTCCGGTGGAGCTCGGTATGGGGCCACGCAATGTTGCCAGGGTTGCACTGAGGAGAGGCGGGTAACCATGCGGACCCTGCGAATGGTGCGTTCGGTGCAGCTCCCCATGGGGCACCGAAACGTGTCAGAGGTGCGCCGCAATGGGGCTGGTAACCATACGGACCCTGCCACTGAGGCCTTCGGTGAAGCTTTCCATGAGACATCGGGACGTGTGAGGGGTGCACCAAAATGGGGCGGGTAACAATGCGGACCCTGCGAATGGGGCCTTCGGCAGATCTCCTTATGAGGCTCCGAAGCGTGTGAGGGGTGTGCCGAGATGGTGTTGATGATGATGATGCTGATGATGATGATGCTGATGATTATGATGATGCTGCTGATGATGATGATGGTGGTGACGATGATGATGACGATGCTGATGCTGATTGTTAGAATCATGATAATGATGTTGATGATGCTGATGATGACGATTCTGATCATGATTATGACCATGATGATGACGATCATGCTGATGGTGGTTCTGGTGATGTTGATGATGTTTATGGTGGCAATGACGATGATCATCAGGATGATAAGGTGTATGATGATTCTGTTGTTGATGATGATGTTGATTCTGATGATGATGCTTGAGCTGATGATGATGGTGATGATGCTGATGGCCATCATTATGACGACGACAGTGATGATGATGCTGATGATGCTGCTGATGGTGATGATGATGATGGTGATGATGCTGCTGATGATAATGATACCGATGATGATGATTCTGATGACGCTGTTGATGATGCTGATAATGTGGCTGGTGCTGATGACTATTATGGTGGACATGATGATGATGATGATGATGATGATGATGATGATGATGATGATGATGAGTCTGACGAGTATGGTGATTCTGATGATGCTGCTGCTGATGCTGATAATAGTGCTGACCATGATTATGATGATGACGACGATGATGCTGACGATGGTGATGATGATGATGATGCTGATGATGCTGATGATGATGACGATCATGATGATGATGATGATGATGATGATGATGATGATGATGATGATTCTGGTAATGATTGTACTGCTGCTGATTCATATTCATATGCAGATGTTTATGCAGTTCCGGCTGCCGAGGATTCAGATGATGATGAGGATGATTATGATGATGACGACGACGATGATTATGATGATGACGACGACGATGACGATGACGATGACGATGACGACGATGACGGTGACGATGACGATGATGCTGCTGATGATGATGATGATGGTGATGATGATGATGACGATGACGATGACGATGACGATGACGATGATGATGATGAGGATCATGGTGGTGGTGGTGATGATGATGATGCTGATGATGATGACGATGACGATGATGATGATGATGATGATGATGATGATGATGATGATGATGCTAGTGATGATGATGATGATGATGATGATGATGATGATGATGATGATGATTATGATGATGATGATGATGATGATGATGATGATGATGATGTCGATGATGAGGATGAGGATGAGGATGATGAGGATGAGGATGAGGATGAGGATGAGGATGAGGATGATGATGATGATGATGATGATGATGATGATGATGATGATGATGATGATGATGATGATGATGATGATGGTGATGGTGACGGTGACGATGGCGGAGACGATGACGATGACGGCGACCATATTGCTGCTGGTGATGATGTTGATGATATGCGCATTGGCTCAGAAGCTAGCGCACAGCGCGCAGCCCGCCGAGCGGGCGCGCGCGACCCATGAGAGCGCCGACCCGATGCCACCGTGAGGACCCCCCCCGCCGAGGTGAGGCCCCCTGCGGCGGCGCTCGGCCGCAGCCGCCTGCGAGCGCAGAGGCGACCTCGCCCCGCAGCCTGCCGACCGGCGAAGATCGGCCGGCGCGCCGTAGTCATGCAGTGCGGATGGCGGCAACGACCCCGGAGCCGAGGGTTTTGACCGGGAGGACGCGGGCGAGGAGGACGACGAGGAGGACGAAGGGCGAGGACCGCGAGCCAGGGCCGTGAAGGGAGAGCCTCCAGGGCGCGTGCGCGCGCGCGCTGCTGGCGTCCAGGCGCGGGCCGCGCACTTGGTCTAGCGTGCGGGGGTGCTGTGTCGCCACCCTCGACCCCTGGCAGGTTCAGATTGGGCTTTGACCGAGAAGGCAGCCGAGGTGACCTGCAAGATTCACCGACCTTGTTCCACCACTTGCAAAGGCTATACTCGCAAACGCCCGCAACACACACGTCCACGCCTGGATGAAGCGGAGCGTAATCCCCCCGCGGCGGATCCAGGCCATTTGCGAGTGGTTACTTGACGAGTAGCGGAACGCGCTTGTCGAAAGATGGCCGAGGAAGAGTTCCTGTCGATGCCCAAGGACGTCGAGAAGCTCAATTGCGAGTGTGCGCCGCAGAACCGGATCGATGACCAGGCCGACGAGGGGGCCTGCGAGGCGAACAAGGTGGAGCCCCCATCGGCGACTGCGGACACCGCAGCGATCAGCAAGCACACGGTGCAGGAGCAGTCCGACGACCAGGTCGTCTAGTTGGCCAACGATGTGGCCAAGGAGAAGTTCCCGTCGGGGACAGCAGATGGCGAGAAGCACATCTGCGAGTACCCGTCGCTGCATCAGATCGTCGACCAGATTGTTGACGATACATGCGAGGTGGCCAGGGAGACGACCGATATGAACGCCATCGTGAAGGAAGAGTCGTCGGAGGAGACGGACCTGTCTGAGAAAAGAGGCAGTTCGTCGGAGAAGGCGAACTCGTCGGGGACGGCGGACAAGCTGGAGATGACGCGTTCGAAAGGAGGCGTCAGCAAGGCCAAGTGGCACGCGAGGGATGAGATCGGCACCAGATGGCTGGGACTCGCCAGACGCCGTGGACCAGGCAGTCGAGGAGACCTGCGAGATGGCCACGGTAGAGTACCCGTCTGGGCCAAAGGCCGACGTGAAGCTCAAGTCCGGGTACGCGCCGCAGACGCGGATCGATGACCAGGCCGACGAGGAGATGTGCGAGGCGGCCGAGGCGGAGTTCCAGTCGGCGACTGCAGACATCGGAAAGCTCATCAGCGAGCGCACGGTGCAGAAGCAGCCATGTGGACCAGTCCGTCAATGAGTCCACCGGAGTGGCCATGGGCCATGGAGAAGTTCCCGCCGGGGCTGGCATATGCAGAGACGTACATCTGCGAGGCGAAAATTGGTCAGGCCAAGGAGGCGACTGGAGTAGTGACAGACCCGACAAAGAGGTGGCCGTAAGGCAGATCCTCAGTCTTCGAATGCAGTTCATGCCAGTACGGCCTTCGAGTCCACCGTCGAGGAATACCCCGACGAGAATGCGGGAGTTGCGGGAACGCCATCTTGCCGAACGGGATGGTGTACGCTTGCCCTTGCTGCTCGAGGTCGAGGTCTTGGCACACAGCGTGCCTCGAGGAGATCCTCCAACACGCACGGACAGAGGGTGATGCTGGCCGAGAGAGTGAGCCAGCAGTGAAATCGGAGAGGAAGGTCGGCTTCCACGCCGCTAGGCCTGCCGCTGGGGACCCCGTGGGCTCCTTGAGGGTTCGTGGGGCTTGCGGGGGTCGGGTTTCCGCACAGTTGGCGGACTGCTTCTGCAATTCTTTACACCAGGAACGATGACGTTGATGATGATGATGGTGGTTATTGTGGTGGAGGTGCTGCTGATGCTGATGATGATGCTGGTGATTCTGCTCATGCTAGTGGTGAAGGCGTTCAATATTATGTTGGTGAGTGTGGCGGTGCTGTTGATGATGGTGCTTGTGATGTTGGCGGTGGTGATTATAAGGTTATGCTGATGATGGTGGCGCCGGTGCTGATGGTAATGATGATGACGATGCGGATGATGGTGATGATGCTCATGCTGCTGCTTCGGTTAATGCTGATCATGGAATCGTTGATGCTGCTAATGATGATGCTGAGGACGAGGGGGGTGATGACGTCGCCGACGATAATGATGACAACTTCGACGACGAATCTTATTATGGTTGTTGTAGCGATGGGAGTTTTGGTGATGGTGGTGGTGGTGATGGTGGTGATGGTGATGTTGGTGGTGTTGTTGTTTGGAACAAAGACATGGGACGAGAAAGATGAGCAGAACGTGGATAGGGGGAGATGAGAAGTCGGTGGGGTCCGGCGCTGCGACTTCAAAACGAGGACAGCACACAGGAGGAACAACCCGCATAAACAGGGGTGTCACGAGGGCGCGAGGCTATTCGCGGCTCGTGGCTCGCGATTTCTCATCCTCGTCTTCCTTGTCTTCTCTTATCCTCCAGGGGGGCGGCGCAAGAGCGCGAAGTTATTCGCCCGTCGCGAAGCGCGAAGCGCGAACATAGCTGCAGAGCCCCGCGCGGCCTTTTCGGATCGGCGCGGCGCCCATTGGCTGCGCCTCTGGCGCCGCCCTGGGCGCGCTCAGGGGGGCCTCTTTAGAGCCCCTTGTGCCATCCTCGGGCGCTGTTGGCCCGTCTGAGGCCTTCGGAGGCTTTCTTAATGGCCTCTCTGAGTTACGTTTTGGAGCCTCTTGAGGCGTTCAGGGGCCGTTTTGGAGGTCTCTTGGGTCGTCTCGGGGCCCTCTTGGGGGGCCCTTGGGCCGTTTTCGGGTCCCCCTTGGCCCGCCTTGGTCTTGGTGTCGGGCGCCGATCCGAGATGCGTGGACCTCCGAGTGTTTATGCTTGCCCACCGTTCGGAAGAAGTGGATAGAAACATCAAGCAGGAAGGCGTTGAATGTAAGATGGGTTTTCGCCCGCCCCCTGAGACGAACGAAAAGTTTCAGCATTCGACTCTTGAAACAGGAAGGTGCCTAAAGTAGACTGGAATCTTGGAAACGGACAATATTCTGGAGGGGTCGCACAACTTCAAGACGAGCCTTTTTAGACCCCCCGGTTGGGAGACCCTCCTTGGGCCTCATCGCCAGACCCGACCCGCCGACCCGCTCGTGCCGCTCTCGCCTGCTCCAGGTCGGCATCTACCTGCAGAAGCGGGGCGCGGGCCCGGTGGTGCTGACGGACGTGCACCGCGCGCTGCCGCTGCTGAAGCGCAACGTGGGGGCCAACCGGGCCAGCTGCGAGGTCTGCGCCTTGCTCTGGGGCACGCCGCCGGAGACCGGAGGGGACGCCCGCTGCTGCTGCACCTGACGCCGATCCTGGCCAGGCCGATCCTGAGCCCAGGATCGGCGTATTGTCCAGGCCTCCCAGATGGGGTCGGCGTAGATGGGCGTCGCAGCATCGCGCCGCATGGGCGATGCATCGGTGATGCAACTGCGGTGCGGCTGGATGCGTAGCCTGATTATCTCCACGCCGACGGTGTCGATGCATCGCCGACGTCGCC